TTGTAAGGTCTTCAAGATATGAATATTGGGAAGACACAGTTAAGTTCATAAAGGAAGGAAGGGTCATAGTAGTCTGCTTCATAGGCAGTCATCTCTGAGAGAGTTCCTGAAGGTTAGGGTTCCTCAAAGCATTCATTCTGATACTTTATCTAATGTATGCAATCACATCCACATGCCCACAAACAAATGTGTGTACACATGCGAAATCCAGAAAGAAAATGTCTGAGAGTAGTATAGAGGTAGAATCAATAATCAGTAAAATCAGTAATCCATAGAATAGAAATTAGGAAAAATTAAAATTATTAGAAACAAAAAATGATTAATAAATTTGAAATTGTATTGTGAAACAAAACATGCAGTTACATAAGATTTTGTATGTTATCTGACATTTATGTTTTCTAAAAGATAAACAGTGAAACATGAGAAATAAATAAAAACTCATTAAAATCTTTCTCTGTATCTCTATCTATATGCCCTATTGGTTCTGTTTCTTTAGAGAACAGTGATTAATACAGAAGGCTATAGGATGAGTATGAAAAAAAGTAATGAGAATTTGAGCTAATGAAAGAACTGAAAATAACAAGAAAGACAGTTGTAAGAGTTATCATCAAAGAATAGCCTGTTGGTGCCTGTTGGATGTAATGAGTGAGAAAAAATCTAATATAGTTTCAAAGATTTGCATCTGAGCAACACTAGAACAGTGCAACTAATGCAATATGGAATTCAGAAGTGGATGCTCAAAGGTGAGAGGAGATGACGGAAGACGAGAAGGGAATAGAAATCACAACATTCTTCAATTTGATTTCCTGGGCTTGAGGCAATGGTGGGATAGTCAGCTTCAGGAATTTCCATATTAGGAAGTTTTAGAACATTCTAAGGACACAGGCCTATTACTAAACCAATAGCAGACTGAGTTCAGTCTGTCTTTAACGCCCGCAGTTACCTTTCTTGAGTTCATCTTCACCCCAGGTGTCCAGGAGTCTCACCTTCCTCAGTTTCTTTCCCCATGCCAGGTATCCCACCTTGAGGACTTATTTAAACACCCTCCCATGCTCTAGCTAGCCTTCTCCCTAAGAGACTGGCACGTGGTCGCTAAATTCCACGCTGTTAAGAGAGTGCCTGGTTATCCACAGATAGATCTCCCCAACAGCGTTTGCTGGTCTAGCCTGGAGTCCTCCCGCTCTGGCCCCCACAAGGAGATATGGACTTCAGCCATGTTACTACATCATAACCAAGAGTACCCAGGATAGTGCACTGGGCTCACCAGCCAAATTAACCTCTCTGCTGAGCCAAATCTGCCTGCTTCTGGCATGTCTCCCACTCTAGTTAGCAAATCATGGGACCAACCTTGGCCCTTTCATGGCCTATGTGATCCTCCAGATTGATAACAGAGAACAAAAAACTGCTGAACACCAACTGTGTCCAAGTATGGGTACCCAATACAATCAAGCTAACAGAGGGGAAATGAAGTTCTTCAGAAAGGCCTTTGGATGTTGCCAGAGGCAGGGGCAGAGTCCCTGAAACTGCTACTATCCATCTTATTGAGAATAGCAATTCTTAAGAAAGTAGATCTTGGTGAGGTTTGTTTTAGTGATGGGGTGTGTGTGTGTGTGTGTGTGTGTGTGTGTGTGTGTGATCTCTAAAGGTGGATGCACTGAACTAGTAGGATCTACAGAGGATCACAGGCCAAAGTCAGATTATGAATCTGAAAGAATGTAAAATAATCAGGCAAATGTGGAAAAGCACAGAAAAGGTGGCATTCACAAGGAAACTGTAGCTACTAGCATTGCAAGCTGTCTGTGTCATACCTTGTGTATAAACTCTGGCCTCCTCAGTGAGCAGGCAGTGAGTGGCAATAGCAGATTGAGTGACCAGTGCCTGGAAACATCTAAATGCTTGTTTATGGTCAGTGACAATGATTGTTCAAAAGGTCTACCTTTTTATATCAGTATCAGGTCTACCCACCCTCCTTCAATCTTCAATCTCTCCAAAAGTGTCTGCATTTCAGACCAAGGTTATTAGAAGAGGGCATTATTTAAATCAAGGAATAAAGTACATAGTGAAAATTGTTGAGCATGGGGAGAAAAAACCTTGGGGCATTAAATTCTACAGGTTCACACATGGAAGGGCAGGTTACATTCTGCTGTTTTGAAGAGGTTTTATTCCCCTGATATATCTTTTATATAGCGTCAGAGTTTCCAAAACACCCTTTATATGACTACTGGAGAATTGCATGTTCAGCATTACCTAATTTGCTCATAAATCTCTTTCCTTTTAATCAGCTAAGTGGCTATCTGCTGAATTTCCCTGATTTATTGATATCTTTTGAGGGCTGAGGATATGTCCAGATACTAAGTGATTCAATGAGGATGAAATGGCACATCACCATAATTATGATAGAAACGAGAATCGTGACTAGGCATGCAAAACACCTTGTGAAGACAAGAGTAGACAGTTCTCTTTAAAGGGCAGGCTCCAGAGTTGCAGGGAAAACATGACCAAGCTAGTTTTTCCACAAAAATCTTCCCAACAGCTCTCAAAAGAGTAGCATTTGCATTCACCGACTCAGCAGTCCCACAAGAACCGTGATCCCTGAGAATATACTGAGCAGGAACCAGATTCTGGCTAAACTGAAAAATTTTAAATCTGCATCCTGTTTCTA